GGTAGTAGCAGGTATATACTTTGGCAAAGTATCTTAAATTAATTTTTTGACATTTACAATTGTAAACATAATGCAGACTCTACGTGCAACCTCCGGCGTTTATATTGCAGTACAGGTCCGGAAGTCAATTAATTTATTTCAATTATATTCTGTACCGAATATAATAATAATTTTAAGGACACCTCGTTTAATAAATATTAAATTTACCACACTGCGGCGCTTGGAGTTCAGCAAACGTCGGCCACGACTTTTAGCATTGTTTAATAATGTCATCTCCATTTTATTTTAGTATACATAAATATAATATATTATTGTTATTATTATTATTATTATTATTATTACAAATAATGAAAGGCTACACAATGAAAATGTCTAAATGTTTTACATTTTATTGTTCATTTCAACAGAGCGATTATAAATGTAATATATCTATTGTTTAAAAATATTATGAGACTACAGTGCAATAATTATTATCAAGTTTGTTCTATACTAACGTACAAAATATTGACATTCTATACTCATTTTCCGTGTGTCTAATAATTAAATTATAAAGGCATGGACTTTATAAGTCTTGTCAAATACCCAATCCACTTTAAATGACAGCGAAACAATGTAATAAGTCTTTAGAAGGTTCTATTATATTATTTTGCATTATTATTTTTTTTTCCAGATATTTCGGTAAGAAAAGTTTTAAGTAATAAGTTTTGAATCGTCTCTGGAAACTTGTTAGAAAGTTGTACATGCCCGCCTATTGTAGTAAAATAACGTTTTCAAAATAATACACTGTATTGACATCAATATAAAGTTAACATGATATAGAACCAATTGAAGATTACTGTCAAGATATTATTTTTACAATTGGATTATTAATAATACACATTTTTCAATTTTGACCGAAAGAAGGATTTTTACAAAGTAAACTGAGAAGTTTATGTTATAATATGTCATCAAAATAATATTAAATATGTCTTACACATCGTCATTAATTAAACCATATTTTACCAATATTATAAAATATTGACTGAAATAATAATTAGCGAATTAACTACAAAATTATTGTCTATACGCAATACCGAAATAATACCGTAATAATAACTCTTAACATATAATATTATTTTTGAACCATTTTGTTTATGCATTATTTTTTTGGTTATTGAGTTGAAGGCTTCAACATCTGAGTTCAGCCTGGAGTATTCAGTAGGTAGGTTTATTACTATGAGGGAAGGTACGGTTGGTTAGACCCTGTGCGCTCAAAGATTTGTGACTATAAAAACGGGTGGTCACTCATTTGGAAACTATAGTAACACAGGCTGATACTTGACTTCAGAACATGTTCGGGACTGAAGACAAACGTCGCTCCACACCAGGACACTTATAAATTAATAATAAATAATAATAGATGTAATATTTATATTAATTGTATTGTATAGTCTGTATATAATATCATGAAACATTTTGGAAATCTCATTTGGTCAACACTATAATACACAGTATAATCACCTAGCATTAAAAGCTATTGTTTTTGTAACACTAATTTATAATTAATAATTCCTGTTTTTTTACTCATTAAATTTTGGTTGTTTAGCGAAAAGTTTCAGCGAGTTTGTAAAAACATGAAGGCTTGGGTTTTAATTTTTTTTTCTCTCGCATTTTGAATAAAGACAACTTCAGTATTATACATGCTTTTTGCATATTATTATCACCTCAACTTTCACTGGTTTTGCTTAAATTTAAACTTTATTCAAACAGCATAACAATTGTAAGTTTTGCTACCTAACACGATATCTAACACCTACCTGTCTATTATTATATTATGTTATTTGAATTTCATCCAATGTCACAATTTAAATTCATCCAAGTTACTTCATCTTTACGGGCGACAATATACCTACCCATCTAATTACGTTTTACTTATAAATTAATTTCCATAAGAATTTTAGGCGTAACAGACAGACGTGTATGTTTTTAGAAATATGAGCTCAAAGATTTGCAGAAGAGCTCCGCATTTTATTTGATCTTTGAGAGAGAAATATAATCCAGTCGTAAATATTTTATTAAATACTACCGAGCTATGAAGAATTATTTAAACGGATGGTGAAACACTATTTAAAGATTTAGTATAGTTAATACGTACAAATAACGGGGAAAAAACCTAGGATACCATTTAAATTTATATCAAAGTATTTTTACATGAATATGAAGTCCACGACCCTCGAATGTTTGTGATATTTTTCACCCATGCCTAATGCACCTTTGTAGGTACTCACTACTCAGTCCCTAGATCTCAGAAATATCAAAAAATGTACTTATGATAGTGTCTTTTTTCAATTCAATCAAAAGACTACAAAAGGCTATCACGTATACATTCGGGAAGACATTTGCCATAAAACGTCAATGAGATAACCATTTAGTGTACTGCGATAAAAAGAAAAAGAAAAAGAAAAAAGGAATTACCACAACGTCACTATGAAAACGGATAGGTTTTGGTAGCCACTTTTATGGAGAGAAAAAAACATTTATTACCCTCTATTTTCTTATTCTACTTTTCTGTCGGTTTTTAAAACATCTCTTCTATAAACGAAGATGTTCTTTAGAAAAGTTTTAACATCTCTACCTGCTCTAAAGCTGCTTTTCAAGATGGCTTAAGAATTATTACATCGATTTTACGTTTTTATTACAATTAGTTCAGTTTTAACAGTTTTAATGGGAATTTCTCGTAAGTGCACTTATATAAGTACTATAATACAAGTACCTACTATAACAAAAACATAGTTTATGTTTGTATTACAATTTTGAAAAATAAATTTGAATGAATTCATCATCATTAAAATGAAGTGCTGATGCTATATAGAATTACATACATATTTTCGCTAAGTCAATATATTCAATATTCTGTATTTCTGTTGTAGTATTTTGTTAATAATTTTGAAACAAAATCAATTAAAACAATTCACAATCATATTTTATCAATATTTAATTTTAATACCACCACATTTACAGTATAATAGTATAACTACTATATTATATTTATGAAACAGTTTTTTTCTGAGTTTGTTTAACTACTCGAGAAGTAAATATTTTGCAAGCTTTTATAGAGATTAAAATACATAAAAAAAATCATATTTCATTACCAGTAAATTATAATATTTTATTAATATTACGTATACTTACAACTGTTAAATGATATTATACCACTAGATTCGTAATACATAATATTATCTATGCTAGTTATTCACTAACACGCAAATCCCGAATAAAATATAACATAATATTAGTTAATTTTATATCGGACGGTCTTTTTTGAATTTTATCGTGTACCTTTTACAGTTGGAACTTACTTTAGTCTGGATCAATATGAACACGAAAAACGTTAAACGTCCGTTTTTTTTTTCGTTTCGACAAACTACAGTCTGGTCTTGTAATTGTTAAATTCAATTAAATACGTGTTCTTTAACAAGTATATTTAGAAAAACTATCTATATTAGTTCTGCCTCACCTATAGAACAATGATATACTATAATAAACATTATCATATTTATTATAATGGTGATAATGTAAAATAATATTATTTGGCGATTTTCAGCTGCACGCCAGTCAATTGTCGTAATAGCTTGTTACAGCAGTCAGCTCGGCTAGCTACACGAGAAATAAGGTCAACCCGGTATGCGTATGCGCAAAATAAAAACAAATTGGCTGACGACTATAAATTCGTCGTTATATCGTGGTTAGCAGATCTACCGCATTATTCGTTTATTTCAAAAAAAATTTAAATATCATTATTTAGATATTAAAGCGATTTATATAGAAAATACACCTAAGCGAAATCAATATAAATATGATATGATGTGACCAAAGAGAATATTCTGCAGTCTTAATTAATAAAAAAAAAAAAATGGACGACTACAAACATGTCATCATATATCACAATATAACACACTAGGTACTCATGTATTTCGAATTTAAATATTATAGTTATCTTTGTGATAATTATGATTGAACGGAATCGATAGAAAGATAATGTGACTATAAAGAGAATATTCTGGCTTTACAAAACAGATATTTCTTGGGTTAAAAAATAAAAATCGTTATGTTATAAAATACGTGTGAAATTATCTTTTGGCTGTAGAATATTCACATATTTGCATAAAATATTACTTGTAAAACAGTTCTATGTACATTGTATAACCTAATATTTTTTCGTTACGCAGAGATGAGAATCAAACATGCCTGGCTTCTTGCAGACATATAACTGTATAACATATTTATGATCTTTTTTATTTTTATTAAAATTGAACATATTTTCATATATTTTTATGAATATTTACTTTTCCCAATAATCTGATTTTAATAAAAAAAAAAAAATGTATGTATAATGTAAAAACGCATTTATAACATTTTTTGTTACAAGTATAAATTTTTGCAGGTAAATCCCCCGGAAATGAGTTTTTTTTCTTTGTACTTCCTTGTTAGTTGTTACGTTTATATATTTTTAATTTGTTTTTATCTTATCGATTATTACTCGACAAGTCATTCAAGTAATTTTTTAATCCAATTTTTAAATGCATTCGGTACATTGTGTTATTCATTAGATTTCTTAATTGTTTTGTCTTATCGTTTTTTTTTTGTCTAGTCAACCATAATTCAATTTTAATTTTAATGTATACCTATTAGTTAAAAAAATTGACGAAATATTTTATACTTTTGTACAAGTAGACATCATTTTATATTTCGGAATTTCGTCATTCCTAAATCCTCATCGTTGCATGTATTTATAAATTATAATATATTAAATATAGGTATGTCATATTATAACATATTTATATGTTTTTATATTTTTGAAATCTATCCTACCGATTATTGGCAATCATAATATTATTAGTCACTAAATAATATTTATTACACGACATTTGTATGACCCTGTATGATATTTATCTGTGTGTATGTTATCAAGTTGAAGCTCTGAATTATTATATTATGAAGACTATCCTGTTGTTGTACAGGTGGTCGCAAGGACTATTATTCCACCAAGCGATGGTGGACTGCGCAAGGGCGGCCATATTGATACCGTTGGCGCACAGCCTCCTTTATTGTGTGCCGGTGAAAAAATGTAGCCTGGTCGAAACAGCGTTCCTGTTGCTGGTCACTGTTTCTACGATAAACATGCTGACAATCGTCCTCAACGATTCGCCGGTGTTTCCGGAGGATGACGAAGAAGATGGCTATCAGGTGAGTTTCAATTCAATCAAATGTTATTATTTTCATGAACTTGGCTTTTTTTAACATATTCACACCGAGTTCATGCCATGTTTTTTTTGATTGGTGGTTTAGGGATATGTCATCATCTTATTTTGTTTTGACATTTAGTGTCATATTTTAATTTTAGTTTTATATATTTCAATGATGTAACATATAATTACTATTATTTTCATGCCGTTGCATACAGCTGATGATAATCGTTTAAAAAAAAAGTGTCATGAATATAGAAATTGCAAATACCAACCGTTTGTTACTTGTTAGACATTGGTGACCACAATAGAAAAATAATACATCCACGAATTAAATGCTTGTGTTGGTATATAATTTACAATCGTTTACCAACCAAATACTGGCATTTAGATATTCTTAGATAAAAAAAATATAAACCAGGAAATTCGTTCTGCTATGTAAAGTTAATTAGTAGGTTACGAGTGTAGTTCGTCATTGAGTATGGCACTGTAATGTTTGTGTTTAATTTGAATTCAATGATAAAGCATTGCTCATGAAAAACGAATCTAAACGGAAACAGTGCGTCAGCATCTATTTAACAGATATTTTATAATCTATTTTGTATTTCTATTTGTAATTTATTTTTCAAACAATAATATAGTAGGGAGAACAAATATTCGAAAATAAAACATAGAATATATTATAATATTATACAATATAAATTGTTCTAATAATTATTGGTATTGCATAATTTTATACTTACCAATTTGTATTGGTTAAGCCAACTACACTAATAACATACTGTTATAAAATACTGAGGATATAGGTTCGTAATTATTATAAATAGCATACAATTAGTCTGAAAATTTAAAAAAGTTCATTGTATATGCGAAATTATAATAATATACGGGATGGCAAAATGTTTCAATTAAAACAATGTAACTAAAATTGCAAGAGGATTACTCGAATATAAAAATGAAAACATTTATTCAACTTCAAATTACCAAATATTTAATGGTGACTATTATGTATCTTCGATGTTTTTTAGCTGCTATAAGAACAATTTGTGAGTTCATTGAATACATTTTTCAAGCTTTTTGACTATGCGGCAACATTTTTATTGGCATAAATATCTAAAAAAAAAAAATAATAAACGGGAAAAATTGAAAATATCTATAAATATCTAAATCAAAGCCAAAATATTTTTAAAATATATCATAATATTATTATCTTTTTTTTTTATTAAAAGACATTTACAATCTGTATACATAATAATACAATAAGTAAATGTGAGACTATAATATTATCTAGAAAATATTATTATAAATTGGGTCTTTGAGGTTCTTCCTTAATTCTTTTTGAATTTAAGTAGGTAGGTACAACAAAATTGATTTTGTCAACTGATGTCACATAAACATTTTTTTTAATTCCTCTAATTTTTTAGAGTGTTTCCCTATTATTTTAAAAGTTGACTTAGGTAAGAATAAAAATGTCTGCTCTTGACTCTCCATCACCTTCTAAAAGTACCAATCATATAAAATACCCTCAAGGATATTGTTTGCTTCATTTTTTTCTACTTTAAAACATGAAGACAAACACAATACAAATTATCAACACATCGTTGTTAAATAAAAACATTCATAAAATTGTTTAGAATCTAATGTAAAATACAATATAATCAATTTATTAAGTATCAATAAACCGTCAATTGGATAATTTCACACATTTGTGTCTGTATGTTTATTAATTAAAAAGTACTATTTAGAACTTAAAAGCTCCAATATCTCCATTATATTTATTCGTTATTGTTCATTATTATGACCACCATGCCGCGAGATTTGCTATCCATTTACGGCCCATCATATTACAATAAATTACTATAGTTATTATGATTTATGTTTGAGAATCAATTAATAATGGTAAAATATTATATTATTTAATGTTTCAATACATCTAAAATGGCCACTACTAATATTTTAATTTTTGTACAATAAATTTTATCTGTTTTTTACATTAGGCCCACATTTTAAATGTAATAAACGAAAAATAAATTATAAGAGAAATACTCTGATAAACAGATATAAAACCGAAAATATGGTTTGCCGACAAAAAAGAGTTTTCACTTTGACGGAAAAATAAATATATTATAAATGCCGGACCGGATACAGATACCGGATGTTGACTACTCGTCTCGCTTCGCTCAACTCAGTTTAGGATAGTATTCTAGTTTATAGAATTATTATAGTAGTAGTTGATGGTAGTTTCGGTGGTGGGCCATTTTGATGTACCATTCCAAAGTAATAATGAATAACCATAATAAATAATAATATAGTAAACCACCAAACCGATTCTAGATAGACTGCGATTCACATTCTTTTGAGGTGATTATGGATAGTATGTAGTTTTTTCTTAGACGTTTACCTACCTGTAGGAAAACTATTTGCGAAAAAGGATCTTTCGAAACGCCGTCTATTCTCGATTTCCTTGTTCACAGAGATGATACCTGATTTTTTGCGAACACTTTTTTCATCCGACAAAGTGTTTACAAAAAAGGCGATAGTAATAATAAAAAAAGTAATTGTAAAATATCCAATACACTATCATAACTTCGTTTCGTTCAGAATCAAAAATACTAGAACGTGCGTTTCGACGAAAAGGAAATTACCAACACGGTTCGTTTTTAGACTTATGGCGATATAATTTTCATTAGCTAAAGTGCAATAGTATATAATATATATTATATGTGGTAATGTGTTTAACTTGATGCGCTACGCTGATTTTCACTAAGTTAATTTTTGTGATTTAAGAAAAATATATTTAAAAATAAATAAATGTACAATAGGTAGTACATTTTTACAAAAAAAACTATATTGTTATTCAGTTACATAATATTTAAGTTTCTTAATGACTTTTCTTTGAGGATCTTGAGGATCTCCGGAATTTATACTTGCTAATTCAGACGTGGCAATAACAAAGTTATTTAATGATAAAGATTAATCTTAAAGAAATAAACAAACTAAAATGCAAATGTTATACTTCTTAATAAACTGTAGCTACAGACACTACACATTTTAATGATAACTACTACTATTATACTATATAATTATACATAAGAACGATTTTCAAATCCACAAATATGTCAGTATGGTGGGCCACCACCGCCGCATCTCAAACAAAAATTTAAAATCTACAGACAATACATAATATATACCTCAGAATAGTTCTAAACTCTAACACTGGTTTATGTGTAAGAAGGAATTCCACAACAACAATTCAGTTGAACAAACAGTTCTTGGTCATTTGGATCAAAGACCAACCCTAAAAATAACTTAAAAGATTCAACTCAACCGATTATCGATGGATAGCTTATCCACTACACAGTTTGGCGATACGAGAAAAACAGCCTACTGAAACCTCGCCACATCAAGTTGTCCTTTGCTATCTCCTTCGTCATAAGTTTAATTTTGTTAAATTGTGTATAATATTTACATACTTTACATTCATAATATTTATAATATTTTTATTGAAAAAATCTTTCATTTTTAATCGATTAATTAATTTAAAAGACATTGTAAAAAACATAGATACATGTTGAGACACTTAATTTAATAATAGGAATAATAAACATAGTAAGTTTCTTAATAATTTATTTTAATGTACTACCACTACTTTAATATATTTTAAATTTTATAATCAGAAGTAGATACCTTTAAAAAAAATTAAACCTTATACACGGAATATATTGTATTGAATATTAAAAATAATATATTTTTTTTATTATTATTAATAAAATGTATTTTGTTAAAATTTAAGTGTCATTGAGAATACTACCATTAATTATTATTGTTAACATTTTTATTTTTATTTTTTGTACAAAAAACTATTGTTGGAACTTATTATTACATTAATTAATATAATTGATGAAAATCACAAACATGTACTTTGAAAATTAGTGCGGCCAGTGAAATGGATCACTCCTTTATTATAATATATAATAGGTACGGGCTTCATTGATAATAATATCATTGCAAACAATATTTTATTAATAATATTATAACAACATCAAACAAATACGGTAAGCTACAAATACAATAGAGTTTTAACCTAGTGCGCAGAGTAACGAGCGGATTTGTGTTTGGCCGGAAAGTTGTGTCGAGCAATATCCGCCCCCCCCCCCTGTGAATACTAATTATTATTCTAAACATTGTTATAACTTAACAACCCTTCGGGTCATCAAGTAATTAGCAATCTTACGATCAACATAGACATCCCAAGCTATGACTTATTTATATATATATATATTGTTGTTTCAATTAAAACATAACTATGTTTCATACACAAATAATAAATGTATGCAGATACCTATGTGAATTGCTGGTTTTAGTCGAACATGTTTTTAATTTAATAAACACACAATATATAGGTATGTAAAATAGTTTAAATTCGAATGAAATCAGATTTCACGTATATACCGGATGATCTATTAAAAGTAAAATACACATTATTATTTTAAAAACCATAAAGTATAAACTTTTTTAAAAATCTTTCTTTTTTCCATAATATTAAGTCGCTAAAAAACTTACATTTATTAGTTACTAATTTTTATCGTTATTGTTTTTTGAATTTTGTTAATGACAACATGCATTTTTAATTTCTTATTCTGAAGTAGACTATTTTTTCACGTACTTCGATGTAATGTACAAAAATTGAATTATGGATGAGTAGTTTGTGAGTTATAAATATTTTAAGTTTAGATGAGCAGATTAAAGTGGTAACATATCAGTATGGCTCGCAAAATATTGGTCCACTACTGGTACTATCACGTTAGTTCAAACTTTAAATACTTAAAACTTATCTACTTGTCCAAATATTGTTGAGAGTTATAGATCAAAACGCTACGGATAATATTCTGCTTCAGAAAATGAAACTAAAAAATGTGGGTTATCATTGAAAACTTAAAAAAATATTAATAATAACGATAAAAATAGTAAAAAATATCATTGTTTCCTAAAAAATGTTGATTTTAAATACTTAAAATTATGTTAAATAAACATATTCCAAAACGACATTGTTTTCTGAAATAAATAGTGTCTAACATGTGTGTGACGTGTGTATATATCATATCAAACAAATACTGGCAAAGAGACCAGAATTAGCTGAGGTAAAAAAGTGTCTATTCCACAAAATATGTATCAATAGTCAATATCATTAGCTTAGTCTTTGTAAGTACCTTAGTACCTATACCAATATTTTATGGTGCAAGCCCTATCGTTAACCACAATATTTATACGACTGTGAAACGGGTCCTGGCATATATTGTGAAATTCTTTCATTATATTGTTTGTATTTTTTTTTTTATTTGTTATAACCTCTTGTTACTCGATGTATAGATTGTAATTTTTCATAATAAAGTCAATATATTTTTAAAAAAAAAACCTCTTGTTAAAAAAATCAATGATTTTGTACAGACTTATTCTGTTTGAAATAGGTTCAATAATATTGTTCGTTTGTAGTTTTGCAACAAAGTACCCTCGTGTAGTGGTACATACAAAATGATTGTTTACATCAGATTTATCTAATTCTATTGTGATTCTGTTAAGGTTTTATCATCATGATTGACAGCGCAACCATGATGTGTATCAATTATACAGATAATAAGCCATGACAGCAGTAATGCAGTATAATAGTTCATAAATCAGTCCTGTAAAGCATTTGAATAATATATGTATTTAAATACTGCCTTAGTCGTATATTTTGCATTTGAAAATTAAATACTTTCATGTAAATACTATCATAGACAATTCAAAAGAATAATTATTCATCACAGTGCACATTGTTTTTGATAATCATTATATTACTTTATTCATAATTAAGATCAAAATATTAAAGATTAAACACTTATTAGAATATTTATTTATTTTATATTTCATTATAACCCGTTTATTGTTTAGAATATTAAAGTATTTCAGGACTAGAATATAGCAAATTTGTATTTATTTTAATTGTTCAATATAAAATTAAGTGGGTAGTACAAAGTTATAAATTCTAATAATACTTAAATGTGACATTGCAATTTTAAATTAGTTATAGGCTAACATCTATAAATTACAAAATTAATTATTTGCCCACCTGTACAATTATAATAAAAATTAAAAACTATTTAAAAACTATTTAGAAACATGCAAGTATTTCTATATTCTAATATTGAAAATATTTGAAATGTGTTTTTAATTATTTTCTAAACGGATACATTTAAATATAGGTAATTTTAAAATTATTATTCACAAGGCTGCCATAAACTAGTCATACAATTTCAGTTATATGAGGACCCTACGTTATTTCACACACACACATGTATGATTATAAGCTTACAACATTTGCGTTCCTCGTTTCACTTTACAGTTTTGTTGATTTTAATATTGTATTAAATTTACCTTTACTAGACTTAAATGTGATAACATATTCGTACTCTCTTGTTTATTTTATTCAATATTCGAATCTTAAAGTGAATCTTAAATGTTCTTAGAATTGTTAAATAATATACAATTGTATCCAACGACTTAGTTAGTTCTAAACTTAAACTAAAGTGCCGAGGTTCATAAAAGTTTAAAATGTGATTCTAATATTCTCTAAAAAAAAAAATACACTTAAAATATCATCTTATAATTGTCCCTGAGCTAGGTAGGCAATATAATATCATGCTGAAATATATTTATATATAATCTAACTTCAAATAGTTTATAAATCAGTATACCAATGATAAGAAACTTATTATGTAAATAATTAATAGTACCAACATATATGTTTACATATCACATTAAACTCAATAAATATAATATAATATTCACAATTACTATTCATTAATAATAGCAAATCGTTTAATAATATTATGCTTACACGTTTAAACTTGAAAATCATAACACCTCCTCTTTGACAGTTGAATGATAAACAGAAAAATCCGAATGCAGTTCATACATGATACGATTACAACCTTTTGCTGTAAATATCCCAAGCGATAATATTACACATAATTGCTCTGTTATGTTGATGTATTTTCGGGTGAAAAAAACTTACATCAAAAAGGTAGGTAGATAACGATTTGGACTTTGACTTCGTTACACATTGCATTGTTTTCCAAAACAAGCCATGTTATGTTTGTAATAGAATATGTTATATTGCGTTTCACGTAATTTTGAATCGGAATAAGAAGTTGAACATTTTCATACTTAATTTTAAAAAAAAACTTTGTAACGCACCAACAATGTTCTTTTACCTAATGGAATATTACTAATCATAATTTGTCGAATGGATCCGTAAGACGTAAAATTGAGATTACGAGTAAGAAAAATTAAACGAGAATAATTCTTTTTTTCAGAATTAAAAGTCGGCTTAAAATACTTGAATTAGTGCAATTTGATAAAAAATATTTTTTTTTTGCTTCAAAACTTGTTTAAAATGAAAACAATATTATAAGTGAATTTTACCGGTACCTACAATATTATGTCAAACTTTTAGGGCATATAAGCATTTTTTAATGTGTTTCAGATCATTACTTGCCCTAATGATAACAATAATTAAACTCCGACATGAACTAAAACTTTTTTTTCAACAGGTGTCTTCGGTGCCACTGTTGTTGGACTCGCCACAGTGCGTCGTCTTCGGCACGTTCATGATATGGTTCGCGGCCATCACCATCAACCTGGGCCCGACGTTCATGAGCGGCGCGTTGGCCGCCGGCGCCGAGGTGACCAGGGACAAGCCAGGCTGTCCACTCGTGCACGGTCCATTCCGGCACTACATACTCAATGCCCTGTGGATAATCATCAATCTGCTGTGCGTGCTGCTCACGCTGTTCCACTTGCGCAAGCTGCACAGGGACCTGACCAAGGCCAACGTGGAAGCTGTCAGGGTGGCTGGACTGGTCACCACGTTGGTAAACGTAACCGGCAACAATTACTCGGACCCGCGGCATGCACCGAGGGTGAGTGACTATTGTATTATTATAATTTATAATTATTATGTAATATGTATTCTTCTTTTATCCTTCTACTGGTTCTTACACTTATGTACAAGAGTCTTTGCCGCCATCGCAACTTCACGTCACTTCTCTCAAACTTGAGCACTTAATTATGTTTCATCACTCGTATTCTAATATTCTTTCAAAATCTTTCTCGACCACATCCATCCACATTTTTCTTGGCCATCCTGGTGGCTTTTTTCTTGTTGGTATTCAGGTCTCAAGACCCCTCTAGACCGCTTTGACTGCACTAATTGTCGTTTCCACACATTAAATTATGTCCAGGCCATTGAATCCTTTGATGTCTTATGCTGATTTTAATTGGGTTCATTTCTGTTTCCTTCAACAGTTCTCAGAGTAACAAAGTTGTCATCTAAGGCATTTGCATATATTATGAATAAGCCGCGGATGTCGTAGTAGTTAAAAATTAGTCAAATGCATAACAGTTTGCACTTAAAAATTAAAAAATAAATTCTTAAATAATATTTAAATTTAAAAAAAATGTAGTTTACATTCTAGAATAACAATCTAAACACTCTGAATCCTTAATCATCATTGAAAGGAGCTGCAAGTGGTTTTTTTATTTTAATGTTCGTGTTCAAACGTTCTTCGATTCAAGATTTGGAGCCAATAAGTAAAAACCAAAGTGAAATTCATCTACGTGAATAGTTTTATAAACAAGTAAATTCAACACAATTACAACAAAATTAAAAAATTCTGAAAATTGCATTCCTAAATCCGTGCCTTAATTATTAATTATATTATCATACGAGATACAATATTATGTATGTATGACTTTGCACGCATACATTTGTATTAAAATTAACTTAGAAATATTGTGGTCCAAAGCCATTACTGCTGTTAGTTGCTATATTATTATGAAATTATAATTTAGGAAAACGGTTACGCATAAGAGAGAGAAGATAAAAATAAAATAACCTTCAAGAGAACTTTACCATTTTTATTTTTTCAATATAACAAATATAGGTATAAGGAAAAATGTTTTTTAAGGTTTAAAACATGACGTATAGCCGTATAGGTAACTTTTTTCATAGTAGTTATATCAAAAAAGAAAATAAATACTATACTAGAACACGGTCAAAGTGTTCGCCTTTGTATGATGCAAATTTAATTCCATTACTATAATATGGTTCGTCCCGCTTGATACGAACAAACAATATATTTTATGGACGTGATGTGTCCTCTTAACGCTTGATCTCACCTATATTGAGGGGCTGAAGAAAAGCTAGGTTTTTGGATATTACATTTTCGTTTAAACAATTATGTTATTTAATAAATGACTACTACTTACTTATGTATTATACATTTATACGATGTATTTATTTTAAGCCCAACGTTATTCAGTTGTTGTAAACACTTATTGCTGTATAATAAATTGTTGATTGATGAAATTAAATAAATGTGATTTTTATAATTTTTAAAAATCAAAATAATTTATAGTTTCATACTATATAATTGTACTTACATAATATGTTACAATAATGTAAACATAGTAAACTATTAATTTAGTTAAATTTCTCACCTCGGATATTTTTAAAATTTTGTTTGAAATCAAGTGTAATACGATAGTTAGTCAGTAGTGAATCAGTCTATGTTGAATTCAGACCACACACCTGTCATGAGTGTCCTTAGATCAATTTGTAAGTCGGAAGAGAGGTGAAATCTGAACTTAACACTAAGTATTTGCTTATTATTTTGAATTGCATAATATTATAAAATATTTATTTAGGTACCTTTATGAATGCGTTTTAACTCTTAAGACATTATGGATAGACAAATATTATAATCATATATAAAGGCAATAGACTTTAATATAAATGTATTAAAATGTAATCACTTAATTTATTATTAGTATATAAGTAAAATATTCAATATTGTACAACCATAAATAATATATTTACACTACAGTTTTGATTTATAATGTACCTAGGTATATAATTGTATAATATTATAATGTAGTAAATTATATTATTACTCAAAAGTTACAGAAAAATTAATAATATAAAAGCAACCAACATTTTTAAAAAGCTACAATAAACAGGTATTGATACCTCCTCACCCAGTCCTGCTGCTCTTCACACTTTCCCCTCAAAGATGCTCATGCGACCTTTGTTCATGTGTGTCCATATTATATTATGCATGTGATATTTATTTACTTCAGCCAAATCAATTACATACCTTAGTTATAATGAATTACCTACATGAATAATATCTGATACGTATATCAACTGAACTATAAACTCGTGTCTGCATATATGGTATATAATTGAATTGTATACGCAAAGGTTAAAGCATTTGATTTTTTCACGGTGGCGGGAAGGGGAATCGTTTATCATATAATATTTATATTATGTTTACTCGTTATTATAATAATATGTTTTACCCAATACATATTTGAACCCCACAACCGGATACACGTAAATTCATGTTTTTGTGGGATAACGACCTATACTATACAAATATTATACAGACGCCTACCATGGCAGACTCTAGCGAAGGAATAAATAATATTATTGTATATAATTGCACGTACCTCAGTTTTTTTAATATTTTATCGTATTTCCGACGTCGCAGGACGAATCCTTAGTTTTGTGTAATACTTTTCTTTTCTATAGATTTCTTTCTTACAAACTTATATATTTTTTTATTGAATAATCTAATTCTGAAATTCATCAGATCACTAAATCGAGTTCTTCAACCATTATTGATTTATCTCTGCAGGTCATGCAGAAGTTTTCTTTATTTATTAAGGTCTACAGATTCACTAAAATATGCGCACGGAAACATCAGATATGTTTCAGCGAGCATAATTTTTAGCATTATTTTTCATTAATTTTAGAGGTAATTTTAATTTACAAAAGTAATGACGTGTTATTTTATTTTTCACGTTTTTTTATTTTATTTTTTTTTATTAGCTTCTTGTGTATACAATATTATAGCTCAATTTTTCATGTTATATTAAAAAAATTGAGATGACAAATTGTGAAATGTGTAGATTTTTCTAAAATATTTCAAAGTTAAATTATAGTAGTTCTGGGTAATAACTACAAGATATTGTATTTTATATTCACATTTAAACACTGCAGTCTGTAAATAGAATTTTAAAATTAGTGTTCGCAAAGAAACGTAATAAATAAGGCTACTGAATTTATTGGACATAAATTAAATTATTATTATCAGAAAAATAAAAAATAATTTGTATATTTACTTAAACGATGAGGGTAATCCATATAGAATAACGTTTCTTTGGTCCTCGCCAATAGCTATGGTTGATAAAATTGTATGAAAAAAAACCAAAAAGTTTATTCCGGTACCGGGAATCGAACCCGAGCCTCCTGGGTGAAAGCCAGGTATCCTAGCCACTAGACCATACCGGATCGTTGTATTGGTGTGTTCAAACAAATATATTTAACCACAAAAGACATTTCAAAGTAACTTATTTTATTTTATTTCTTTATCATTTAACCTTATTACAAGTATTTCAAAACGTCTACATTGCCGTCTAAAAGGTACAGTCTATTTAGGTTCCTACACAATTACAACCACCCGGTACCCCGTAGAACGGATCAATATTTTTGGTACGAGGCCAGCACGGCCACACAAAACCATATTACTACAAACATAAAACATTCCTAGGATTTATTACTTGATTTAGTAGGTAACTTGTAAATTAAGTACTTTGGGTTAAATAAACCTGTTGCAGTAACCGATGCCATCGTTAATTATGTGATCCCGCCCCACCAAATCTATCATCTTAATGCCCACCGTGAGTGAAGACCCTGCTGCCCACAACCCAGTCAGCCACTCGTCCTCTCGTCCTCTTTCGTATACGTTAATAAACTTTGGATGGGATTTAAAACATTTAATGTACCTAGGTAGTTGTTTACAAAACACATAACATCTATGTAATATCAGTTTCGATTTTATTAACAAAGACAAATCGACGCAGCAATATTCTCAATTAACTAAAAAATAATGGAGACCACACTACTATTATTTATTACTAGGTATACAATAAAAGAGAAATAAAATAATATAACAGGTAAGAAGGACGGTGAGCCAATAATGCCTAACATATTAACAGTACAATTCAATAGGTATACAATATAATATATACCTAATATTATATTATTATAATATACAGCCGAGTCTCCATAGCCAGAATTATTTTATTACCCATTGAACTGGAACCTATATTAATAGTTGTGTTTGAGCCTTTGAAGTTTGATGTACAAGTACACTCGACAAATATATAAGTCGAATTTATTTTTCTTCCTGTTGAAATTCGAGTTATCGAAACTCGACTGTATTAAATTATCATATACTTATATGTACAACTATTGAACAACTATAAATTATAGTAACCTGCGCGGCTGCACCGCATTATGAAACGTTTTGGCAAGACGTACTGAAAGTTACCAACCCGGCTACATATGAAAAGCTCTAAAATATATTCGTCGAAATGATACGTACAATAATTTACGAAAGTATTTGGTCCAACACACGAGTATGTAATTCATTCCGATCACAGATGAAACATTATACTTTTCATTTCTTCGATGTCCGGCGTTCGCGACCATCGTTATAGCGAAATGCCAAAATGTCCAGTAAATAGCGTGTTTATATATATATATACATACGTATGGGTATAAGCAGGAGAGTGTATAATAGCTATTACATAACCTAAGTTAGAGGGTCAGGCAAGGTAGAACTTTGCGCTTTAATGTCGACCACTTAAACTATATTTCGGTACATTTCACTTGGGTAAACTCCGAACGGTCGTGTATAGCGGTATGATAAAGGTATATATTACGTTTTTACAAAAAAAAATTCACTCATAAACGCTGTAACAACATGAAACATGACTTAAACATTTTCGCCAACAAAAAATAAAAATGTTTATTTTGCTTTATTATATTATATTATATTATAAGCACCCGCTG